AATGTTATATTATTTACGTAAAAGTGCATTAATCTGATGATATACCAAAAAAATCATATCTTATGCTTTTATAAAATTTATATTAAATAAAAGTTTGAACATGCAATAATTAATTCTTGTTTATCTAGCAAAACAAACAATATATACCTTGTTTATTTAAGAACATTTTACTTCATAAAATAATGTGGGACAATCAGAACTTTTCATGTGGGACAATCAGAACTCTAAAATTTTAAAAAGTGGGACAATCGGGAATAAACCATATTAAGTAAAGCAGGCAAGACATTTCAGTGTCTGCATTCTTGTGTTTAAAAATTAGAAATTTTGTAAATCATCTTTTTTGTGCTAAGTTTTCAACAAAAATATATAAAGAGGTATACTATGCTATCCAAAAGTGTCACATTCTCGATTGATTATTATGAAAATTGGGAAAAGATTGGAGTAAAAATAAACTTTTGTTGAAAATTTTACAGATTTGAACAAGCAACTTTTTGCTTCAATTACAACAAAGCTCAAGATCTATGTAAAATGTATACTATAATATTCTTTTCCATGTAATCTTGGTGCAAGATTTGTGGTTAAATTGGAGGATACAATGAAATTGTCTTCTTATGCTAAGATTTCAACAAGGATTGATATGTAAGTGTAGATAAGTATTTCAAAAATTGGAAAACAAATTTAAAATAAAATTGGTATAAACTTACTTCTTGTTTAAAATCTCAAATTTTGAGAAATATCTTCTTGCGCTGGAATTTAACAAAACCGATTTATAGGTACAATTTATTTAGGCCATCCTTAATTGTTCCCAGGGGTCAAAAGTGTGGTAAAACCTTATTTTATGTGAAAAGATGGTAAATTTTGGGAAACACGTGTTTTGAAAGGATTTTAATTTCAACAACATATACTAGACTTAAGAAAAAACATATGATACAGTACAAACAATGACAAACAACTTAAGGTCCAGCAAGCCTCACTTGGTATAGACACAAACTAAGGTTTTATGTTCGCACACACACCTCCTCTTTTGCAGATCTACACCATGTGTCATAATTAATACTAGAACAAACACAATAAAAACATGCACTGTACATGTGCAGCTACCAATTGGATGACCACTAAATAGAACAAGGAAAAACAATAAAAAATTTTGATGATTTATTTAAAGGTGAAATTGTTGATGATATATTGGAAAGGTGATTAAAAGAGGAATGAGGTGAAAACTGCCGTTATTTGCTAATCCATGGCAATGAGACAATATTGCAGCCGTGATGAAAGGGCCATTGGACCCAAGTCATTTTCAACTTAACTTAAGTTGCAATTGATTTCCTATTCATAAATTCATCTCTGGTTTAATGCACATAACTTCAATAACAATTATTGTTAATGCCAAGAGTATCAGGTCAAAACTTGGGTGTAATAGCTACAAAGGTAACTGTTAGCTTAAAACACAGTCCCCAATCTTGTATATTAAATAATTGATATTGGTTAATGTGCAGTAAAAGTAGAAATTGAATGTAAAATTTGGTACTCATTAAGAATTTTATAAGCAAATCAATGGACTCAATATTGTTGGTCATGGTGAGTAGGGGCATCCCAATTTTGCCATAGCGAGTCCAACAGTGGGAAGACAATAAATAGCAATGCCTTAATTGATTATTTTCTGATAATTTTGGTCATTGATGCAAACTTTAGAAACAGTATGTGACAAACAACCCTATATAAAGAAAATAATGATCTAGCTTCACCTTTATATCTTTCCAACTTAAGATGGTGAAAGGAAAGACAGAAGGGACCAAGATCATTTTTGATAAGCATACATAAAATCAAATAATAACAAGAATGTGTCCATAGTACACGGATGCCCCACTCGCACTATCATTTTCTATGTTCAGTGGACTGTGAAATTAGGATCAACAAGATCATATCATAGGGAACTTGTGTACTAAGTTTCAAGTTGATTGGACTTCAACTTCATCAAAAAACTACCTTGACCAAAAACTTTAACCTGAAAAACTTTTACCTGAAGCGAGACAGACGGACGGACGGACAAACGAACGAACGAACGAACGAAAGGACGAATGAACGGACGCACAGACCAAAAAAGATAATGCCCATAAATGGGGCATAAAAATAATGCACTGTAATAAGGTTTAGAAGTTGAAAAAATTACATGTACTTTATAATTGTCTAGGTGGGATGCTTCAAAACAAGAATAGGCTTCATAATTTCTGGGACTAAGAAACCTACAATACACCAGTTAAAAGGGACGCAGAGATTTTTTACTTATTTCGATACTAGGAACAGACTATTTTGACACTACCCTTCTGTAAAAATATGAATCATCACCATTTAAATATTCAAATCACAAAACATTATTTGGTTTATGGGTTAGGGGTAAAAAAAAAGTTGGAATGTGGGATAATTTGTTTTTTTTTTTTTGGGGGGGGGGGGGGGGGGGTAAAACGTGGAAACGTGGAATGTGTCATCTAAGAAATAAAAGCGAGACTTTCAAAATAACAGCGATTTAGGAAACTAGCCACCTACTCATTTATATCAAACAACAGGCTTATGTTGTACCTCCAAGCCCTATGATATCATCGCCTTATGTCGAGTTATGATAAGCCCGTACAATTCATGGTTCATGGTATATTTATGTTTCAATCAAGATCCGGCTTCAGTCTGACGTTTAACGCCATTTTCAACTGGTACCGTATGTGGACGTTCGACAAACCGGGAACCGAAACGTTCAAGTTCAAGGCCATCATTAGCTCATACCGACCGTTAATATTTGTATATTCCGAAGGCATACTAGATATTTTACGGAGGGAACCAACCTAGACTGTATATACAAAGAATAAGAAGAATTTAAAGAAAAAAAACAGTACTTGAAGAATGCAGTAATTATGTAATAACTAACCAATTTACTATGACTAGACAACTTTTTAGAAATGATGTCCAAATTGGCCTGTTTTATTCCTTGATAAGATCATAATAATACAAAGATCAAATTAATGGAACAAAATCTTCTACAGATACTGTACTTTTTTCATGTATTAAACTGATAAAAAAAAAATAACTTCCCATCTTTGTATTGTACTAACGGGATAAAAAAAAAGAGATTTGAGTTTTTTGATAATAAAAAAAAAGTGTGGACTTTAACGGTGTTTTTTTTTTGTGGACTTTAGCGGAACTTGTTATTGTGGACTTTAACGGCGTTTTCTTGTGGACTTTAGCGGAGGTCATTTTCTGGACTTTAGCGGAAAGTTTGTGGACTTTAGCGGCGTTATGGACTTTAGCGGAAATTTCTTGTGGACTATAGCGGTGTTGTGGACTTTTGATGAATTGTGGACTTTAACGGTGCCACAGCGCATTAATATCATGTCAAAACATGCCGGCATACAAATGAAAACTCTCAGGCTGAAGATTATTAGGAATGCGTCAGCTTGCTTTGCTAGATAATGTCACGTCAGACGAGAAACTCCTCGTACAGTCTTCATAACAACGGTACAGACAGACGAGATTTGTTAATCACTACCCATGACCATATAAACCTGTAGTGCAAACGCCATGTCAACAAAATTTCATAACGCAACGCCATTTGCGAGACAGGTTTACTACTGCGACGTCATCTGCTTACCAAGTCGTCGGATGTCATGGGAGACAGATTCACGTCATAAATGTTTCCAAAATGCCATAGAATCGACTGCAACGGGGTTAAAATATTGTTGTTAGATTTAATTCACTTACAAGTGTTGCATCAAATTCATGACGATGCTGTAATTATGAAACAGGGTTCGTGTTGTCAACCAGCATTTATCAAACTTGTCAAAACCAGCATATGTCATCCTTAACAAAGATTTCCCACCAACTCTTCATAAATATCACTCTTTCCTGAGCGTCTCTGATATTTACTAAGTAATGGTTTTCATACAATGCTTGTTTAAGTAGTTATGCCCCTGTTTGGTCCCCCATTAGTTTAACTACCTTTTTTTTCTTTTTTTTTCTAAAGGTGTTTCCAAGAGTTGAGCTAAATTTAAACAAGTATCTGAAAAGATGAGTAAATACTAATCACGGTAGATTACTCTTGTTATTTTTTTTCACTATTTTTTAAATGACTTTGAGTTATTTCCCCATTTGACTTGTAAATTTTCAATTATTAAGCTTATGTCGACAGCTTAGCCTTGTTATGATGTACATATTATATATGCACTTAAAAAAACATTTTCAAGATTATACACTAAAATTTTTTTCAGATTTGAAATTTATATAATTACAATAAATTCGTCCAGAGAGTTTCCAAACTAATGTTGCTGATGTTTTAAAAGCTGGGAAAGCACGTCTACCAAAACTATCCCAAATTTAATAATTCCTGGAGTCTATCTTACCGCGAAAAAAGGAAAGAAAGTACTAAGGGGTGAATAAAGAATCACAAGTTGAAGAAAGAAAGCTTCAAACCCATGACCAAAACAAAAAACGAACAGACATACAAAAGTTCACAAACAATACACAGAAAATTAAATATTGAGTAACGTGAACCACTAAAAAACAGTTACTCCGAAAAGGGCAATCATTTCCTGTTGCACTTTTGGCACCCGCAGTGCTCATTTCACGAAAAATACGGTGTACAGTCGGACCCAGTGATGTCATAAATGAGGAAAAGAGACGGGATTATGACTTCAAGTGAAATCGAGGTCATCTGTGACACGTATAGTCTATAATGGCCGAACAAATCATTGGAGCATCAGTAAAACTTTCAAAAAAGTCATTTTAACTGAGAATTGTCACTTCATTAGTTCCATGCATGTAAGCAGCAAGTCTCTTATCAATAAAATCATAAGAAAAGCAAGCCCTGGAATATCGTATTTGGTTGGTATATACTCCATTATTCTTTTTTTCTTTTGGAGGACCCTGTACTTTTGTGTTTGGGATTTCACTAAATAAACAAGCTCAGTTACAATATTTTTTTGTTAGATTGCCAAAAGAATAAAAATGTATAATGTCTGTGTCTTTACTTCCTTTTCATTGCCCTGTAATGATAAAAATAACTTTTAAGTTAGAAAGCTTAAAAGTTGAAGGCCGTTTTATTGCATGGTTATAAATCATAGAAAATCAACTACAAACAAATCAGACGAGATGTGAGAATTTTCCGTATGTTCATATTATCTTAACCAAAAATCAAATTTAATTTTCAAGATATACTTGTCGACAAATTGTTTAAGTCTGAGGTATAAGACTGAGCAAAAAGATCACCTTGACTCTCAAGTATTAAAACTTCATCTCCCTTATATAAGAAACGACATCGGAATGCATTTCACTAGAACTTGGGTATTGAGACTTATGAAATATTGTCATCTAGAACATAAATGCATTCGAATGTCGTTTCCTATTTCAGGGGGATGAAGGTGTATGGGAATGTGGATTAGGCATTAAGTGTGTTTTGCCTTGCATCTGTTTTCGGGTTGTTTCTGTCTTTTACATTATATTATCTTAGAAACGAGTTCCTTCTTTTGTGCTGTTTTGTTGTATACTCTAAATATAATCCACGCCATTCCAGTTATTTCCTGGGAAACCATTTTGTATATAAAATTGATGCAAATATCACACTTCTGTTCATCTTCTTTTTGACTGCTACTTTGTGAATAAGCAGCTAAAAATATGGCTTTGCGTGTCTGTCTAGCGTAAAGCATGATTCATTTTCACATCAAACATACATCTTATTCCCTGAATATGCATGTTATATTTGCTGCTGGACGTTAATCCTCCGTCCATTAATCCACCAATCAATCATACTCCTGGGCCATCGGTCATAAAACTTTACCCAGTACTTAAGAGTACAAGATTTGAGCTCGAACACCAATTCCAGTATTCTAATTGGTTGATTTCTGAGTCTGAGTTCGATAGTTGTGCTCGAAATTTTCATGACCGCAAGGCCTGTTCCCCATTTTTATTAATTTTCATTTTTGTCGTACTTATAATAAACTTATAACACAGTAGGTAATTATACATTCGAATACATGTGTTTTATGCTGTTGGTGAATAGAAGTTTTCTGCCATAGGTACAGTTTCCTCACACTGAATTAGATCCGTGAAAGACTTACCAAAATACTTTTCCAACATCTGAACGTCCCTGGTATTATCACTCAATAACAGTATATCTCCATTCATTGACCGTTCTATTGCACTCACTTCTGCATCTATTCATAAAAAAAGTTATTATTCTAAAGTAACAAATTTTGTTGTGTTACCTATAGTCTTTATGCACATATATTTAAACGCAACATTAAACATGTGTTACGATTATATCTATCGGTATCAAAGGGGTTTTTCATCATATAGTGAATACCAGTTTACCATTTTTTTTTCTTACGAGAAAAAATAGATTAAAAATCTGCTATTTTTATCACTAACACTTGTCAGAAATACATTTTTTGTATAAGGTTTGCATTTCAAATGGATTATGTGAATAATTCTGTGTTCGTTGCATTATACAAGGAAATATTTATAATGAATCTATGTGATGTAGATTTGCACAACATTTTAAATAAAAGCCTTTGTGAGTCTCAACAAATTCTCTGCATTTAAAATTATCTTAATTGTGTAACATGCTGCTATAAATAACGCTTTTAATGGCGAAAATTTCAAAGAATTGCGAGGTTTAGCTAGCTATAAAACCAAGTTTAATCCACCATTTTCTACATAAGAAAATGCCTGTACCAAGTTAGAAATATGACAGTTGTTTTCATTTCGTTTGATGTGTTTGAGCTTTTGATTTTGCCATTTGATAAGGCCGTTTTGAATTTTCCTTGGTGTTTGTTTTTTTTTGTTATTTTCCCTTTAATACTTTGAGTTATGCTTAAAAATAATCAGGAATAAATCTATATTGATACTGTAACATGTATTGACTTACCAAAGTCGTCTTTGATACCTGCAAATTGGCCCCTCAAATCTCCATCATATCCGATTCCGTCCAGATCCACATCAAGTAAGGCGAATGTTGAGAACTGGTTGGTCCAACTGTCCCTTACATATTTTACGTCATCTTCTACCTGATCAAGATCCTTTTTAGTTGGTACTCTCCCTTTTATCTTAATAAACCTGGTATCCAAAGTCTTTGGTCTTTTTCTAATCTCGAGGAACAGCTGCTCCATTTCTAACAGGAAAAGGTTAAATATTTGCACAATGTTTTTTAAAAGATGCAATAATTTGTTCATGTTCAAAAAATTATTTTTATTCTATTGTTTTGTTGCTATGAAATAGATTTTGATAGCAACAAAAAGGAGTAAAATAGCGCTCTCAGTGAGAACCTTCAAAATCACATCTCGTCCATTTCATATCATTTTTTTGCCACTATGTTTGTTTATCATTTTTGATTTCAGCTTCCATTTCGAAAGGTGTGTGTATTAAATTATCTCAACGTATTCACTTCTTATTCATTACAATAGTGAAAACAATGAAAACTGAAGCACACAATTGAATAAATCTGGACGTAGGACAACAGAACAACAGATCAAGTTAAGCTGGGTAATCCTATATAGATTAGAAATTGACGATACTATACTGAAAGCTTGCTCAAAATGTTGAATTTGCTGAGTATCAATCAAGCTTTTTCGGTGTGCAATATAAGCTGCAGTACTTCAGTAACGGTTTAGTGAAAAATGTTAGAACACGATTTTGTGTAATCACATAATATATAAATTCTGCAAAAAATATCACTTACTTATTCATTTTTTAATATTGAAAAAAAATCTATACCTGTATAAAAATTCGAGATATTTCCAACTTCATCATACGCATTGGTAATTGGCTAACAATTTTTTCAAGTTCTGAAAAAGAAATAATATCCATGTACACATTTTATGTAATAAATGAACAGTCACTTTATACATTTTCATAAATTGGTGAGTGCATGACTATAGAGAATCACAAATCAACTGAGCTTCAAGGTAGACAAGAATCTGATTTCAAGACAGAATACAAAACAGTAAATAGACAATTAGAATAAAGAAGAATTAGAATAAACAAGAATTAGAATAAACAAGAATTAGAATAAACTACAACAGTTCAGTATTTAGACTGGCGTATCTGATGACGGTCATGCAATCAAGAAGTACCTCGGTATTTCTTATAAGTGTGAGGTAAGGACGCCAATTCGATGTGCATGTGCTTGTCCTTTTTCTTTTTATTAAACTCTGAGTCAAATTGTCTAAACCAACAGTACCATCAATCAACGATTGATTGATGTTTGCTTACGTCCAGCAAATGTTTCATGCAAGTTCAGGACGAAACAAATATTAACAATAATTACAATAGATCGGTCCTGTAATAGAGACCGTTCGTTGTGAAGGTCGGGGAAATCTAGACTGCAACTGGCAAATGAGGATATACTGGATAGTGACAGATATTTTGCCTTGCAACAGACCACATATACGGACCCCTTAAAGCGTTGTTGTGATGTTTTTTGACGTGCAGAGTTCGTGACTCTCTATACACGAATGCCCCGTATTTTAAAACGTCCCGATTCTTACCCGACGTGGTTGTGTACTTATACATCCCGCACAACCAAACGGATTCATACAGTTGGACGCCTTCTGTAAACCCAAATTATAAATTAAGGAATTTTTTAAGTTCAACTGTCAGCCTTAAAATCCTTTTTTTTATCGTTAAAAGTTAAACTTTCGCCTTACTTTCCTTGTACCTTATCAATAATGTCGTATATATAATAGTTACCGATTAATTGCTACTTTTCGATTATTTGTTAACTTTAATTTTATGCTAATGTTTTGATCATGAGACTACTGTTTGGAAATTTGTGTTTCAATGACGACCAATTTTTTCAGTAAGTCACCAGCCTATAGATTGTTTACCTATATTTTCTCTCCGAAGTGACCTGAACAGTTGAAAAGATATCCAGAGCAATGCAAACACTAAGACTAGTAGGGAAGTGTCTTTCCATGGAACAATTTCAACCAATGAAACATCCTGAAGTGAAAGAAATACATAGTGTTAAATATCCGTGGTATGGACCTGAAAGGAAATATTTCCTCAATACTATATGTAAGCCATATTTTGCAAAATTTACACGCTGATATTATTAAACCTAAAAATTTGATAACACTCACTGAGAATTACAAATTACACATTGAGATTTAAAAAAAAAACATATATAATTATAGCGGTATACCATCTTTTCCGCAAGTTTATTGTTTCTGTTTGGTAATGAATTAATAACAAGATCTATTTTGTTACATCTTGTGATCCGTTTATTTGGCAATCGCCAATGGCAGTCAGCAGGGTTTAAGAACATCAGTTGTTCGACCTGCTAGTCAAATGCTTTTTGTTAAAATATACCTTTTCACTCATTTTGGTCTTTTGGAGAATGTTGTTTGTGCTGTATTTAGACCCCTCTACCAAGAAATTTGTTTTGCATGCACACGTATAAAAATGGCGGTTTTTATCCAACGCAATAATAGGTTTGAACGTTGTTTTCAATTCAGACTTGTCAATTATAGTTTTATATATATATATATAGTTTGAACGTTGTTTTCAATTTAGACTTATTTATATTTTTTCATTTGGGCTTGTATTATATTTGCCTTCAAGTTTATATGATCCGTTCATCCTATTTCGACTCTTCAAAATTCAAGAGTCTAGCCTAAATTGAGGTAAATTATATGGCCTTCCATATGGAATCCGGATATGGTGTACAAATTGTTGCACCTCATGTTTGTGGTATACCTTATTTGGCAATCGCCAATGGCAGTCAGCAGGGTTTAAGAACATCAGTTGTTCGACCTGTTAGTCAAATGCGTTTTGTTAAAATATACTTTTTCACTTTTTTTGGTCTTTTGGAAATTGTTGTTTGTGCTGTATTTAGACCCCTCTATTAAGAAATTTGTTTTACATGCACACGTATAAAAATTGCGGTTTTTATCCAACGCAATCATAGGTTTGAACGTTGATTTCAATTTAGACTTTTATATATTTTTTCGTTTGGGGCTTGTATTATATTTTCCTTCGGGTTTATATGATCCGTTCATCCTATTTCGACTCTTTAAAATTCAAGAGTCTATCCTAAATTCGGGTAAATTATATGGCCTTCCAAATACCGTTTCGATCCCTAACATCACTGAAGAGACATTAATTGTCGAAATCCGGATATGGTGTACAAATTTTTGCACCTCATGTTTGTGGTATACCATCTTTTCCACAAGTTCATTGTTTTCTGTTTGGTATTAAATTAATATTAAGATCCATTTCGTTAGATCTGGTGATCAATTTATTTGGCAATCGCCAATGGCAGTCAGCAGGGTTTAAGAACATCAGTTGTTCGACCTGTTAGTCAAATGCGTTTTGTTAAAATAGACTCTTTCACTTTTTTTGGTCTTTTGGAAATTGTTGTTTGTGCTGTATTTAGACCCCTCTATCAAGAAATTTGTTTTACATGCACACGTATAAAAATTGCGGTTTTTATCCAACGCAATCATAGGTTTGAACGTTGTTTTCAATTTAGACTTTTATATATATATATATATATATATATATATATATATATATATATATATATATATACAGCACAAACAGCATTTTCCAAAAGACCAAAAGAGTGAAAAAGTATATATTTTAAGAAGAATGCTGATTGGATGCTGATCCCAGGTCATTAGTTCACTGACGTCAATAAACTTGCTGATGTAAATGGCGGCGATTGCGAATGTTGACATTCTGTCATGTTGGAAAATGGACAAACAGGACTTAACTAAGCTTTCTCTTAGCATGTATGGGCCCCGGTTTCAATATTCAGGCCTTACACAAATAAAATAGAAAGGTAATGAAACGCGTGAAATAAGAGTAAACAGAAGTTGGGAGCCGTCGTTCAGTCAAGGGACACCCTGGTCAAACAGTGAAGTCGAACTCTATATCATTACTCCCAAAGACCTTATAATATTTACATACAATAACAATAAAAATAAATGTAATGTTCATCAAATGTCTTTATGTACACGTTGCTTAATAGTAAACGTCGGATGCGAAAATAGGAGTGAGTGTTTACTGATTAGCCCGACAAAGTCGTATGTACAAACATACAGCCTACCGCATATGCCGTAACATTATGAAGTTTATAAAAACATTCATATTTATATAAATATCTATTGTATGCAAACACAGCACACAGCACAGGCAATTGTCTCTGAAAAATTTCCTATAGTAAGGTATATAGGAATTTTTTCCAGAGACACAGTGAAAGTAGAATCTTTTGCTTTCATGGTAAAACCTTTGTCATAAACATTTATGTACCATTTCACATAGCAATTAAAGGAAGTTAACTTTTTAAAAGAAAATAGATTTGGGGTATACATCAAGATAACCAAAATATGGTATCTGTGTAATTATGGGGAAAGGGGGAGTAAAGTGAGAAGCAAATTTTGTACGCTACAGCTCTTAAAAACAAAAACCATCACTCTCAAATGAGGGCGCTGTAATTCCCTATATCAAATTTCAAATCTCGTCCATCTGATATGTGAATGTTATTTGATTATGAAAGGCACTTTGAGTGAGAAGTTCTATACATGAATTGTGAGTATACTGTTCTTTTGAAAGTCAAATGGAAAGATTGTTTTTCTTCATTTCATTTGTATTTTGTTTTGTTTTGGGATTTCTTTTCTTTTCAATATTCTACAAAGTATGTCTTTTCACGATCAACCCATTTTCAATAAGTCTTCCATTTCAAAACAAATAAAAAAAAAAACACACACACATTGTTTTTTGCTATCGTGTACATCAGTTGTTTTGTCTGCGTTTTTGATTGCCTTGGCAATATAATAGGTTTTGAAATTGAAATTGAAACACAATGGCGTATTTCTAAAGATGTAACTATTTTTTCAAGGCTTAAAGATTGCTTAAAACTGGTTACAATTTTGTTAGATTTTGAAATTTTGAGTTATGATTAGTTATTATCACACAACTTATAAAAAGGACATTTCTAATCGAAACCTAAATTCAATCGGAAATAAAGCTTTGTTTTGTCTTTTAGGTACAAATTAATTCACGATGGTTAGGAATGACTAAGGATGTTAATATCAGTGTGATTTAACTAGCCGAGTAATATTTTCAAATTCCACAAATTCCAGTGATTTATTTTGTTTTGATTTTCTGTATTTGTTTTAATTTGTCGCCTTGGATGAGCATGGAATTTGCAATTGTTATTAAGCTTTCAATTTTGCAAACACAAATAGTACTATATTAAATTTAAGCGCCTTTCTATGCCACAAAACTGGGTGCATGCTTTTCTCCTTTTTTGAAGTGTAAATTTAATTTTTTCAAAATTCTAACATTTTTCATATTATATATCTGGCTTGGTGCAGCTGGAACAAAGTGTAAAATACATATGAGTTTATTTAAGGCTACATGGCATACAAAGGGAGATCATTAAAGTTTGTGATATCAAACATTTTAGGTAGCGAATGTCATAATCTCCCTCTTTCTCACTGTTCCCTTATTCAAGTCGACCTTCACCTTATATACGCAAACACCTATTTATTTGCTGTACAACTCATTTGCGCCAATGCTCCTTTTGTGCCAATTTATTTTCTAAATAACATGTATCAACTGTGCCAAAAATAAAAAGCATATATTAGCGCCAGTCCAAAAGTAAATATGGTTTGTAATTCATCCCCCCCCCCCTTTATAGCTGACTATGCGGTATGGATTTTGCTCATTGTTGAAGGCCCTTCAGTAACCCATATTTGTCAACTTCTATGTTATTTGGTCTCTGTTGGAGAGTTGTCTCATTGGCAAACATACCACATCTTATTGTTATACAAATCTGGT